CGCGTAGCGCCGCGAAATTTGGTATGACTATAACCTCATCAATTTTACACATGGTGTGCAAGTTTGAACCTCCTACCTTTTAAGGTCAGGTCACCAGGTCACTTTGAATGACCCAACCTCAAGTCACTTTTTTGCAACTTTGTCACCGTGCCAGAGCTACAGTAGATGTCGGAGGCCTTTGAAAGTCGCAGGATATTATTAGGTCATTAGTAGCTACAATTTGTATATCTCGGAATTTTGATATCGGTGACCTAAGGTCAGGTCGATTTCGCGACCTCCCCATTATAAGTCAATGGGGGAAAAATCAACTCCCTGTTTTTACCACTAAAACGGGTCGGAATGGCCCCATATACCATACATGACTTCATATACGATCAACCTTCACTACCTTGAGGTCTGTTTTGCTGTTGGGCAGCTGTGAGGTCATGTGACGTCATCAAAGGTCACCAAAGGTTTTTGGCCAATAACTCCGTACAGGAACAAGATACAGACGCGTGGATGGTCTCATTGTGTTCAGCTCGTCAAGACGCATCGAATGATATACATGATGACCTCGAGGTCACGTGACCTGAGGTCAACCTTTGACCTTGACCTTTCGAGGTCAACATATATATCATTCGATGCGGATTGACGAGAGGATCACGATGATGCCCTTAGTTTGTTCCTATATTGACTAATTCGAAAGTTATTCGAGAAAAACTATCTCTGTATCTAGTGCCGCCATTTTGACTTTTTCGACCCCTTTGACGTCATCTTTGACCTGACCTGAAAATGACCTTAGTAAAAATTGTAGATCTTGGCCGTGCGTATCCGATGCCGTTTACCGCTTGTCGCTATCTTGCTTCGTTCTCGAGATCTCAGGGGGGGGGGCGGTCATCCGCCCCCCCTGTCGGTGCGAAGTTGGCGCAGACCCCAGTCGGTGCGCGGGTTAAGCTTTTGGAAATAATATGTTACCAAATACCAAGGTGGTGAATGATGAGAATACGAGATAAACCTTGAGGCCACAGCAACGTGACAGTATTTAAATGAGACAAAGCAAAAGTTGAGAAGCCTATGTGGTGTTCCGTTCCATGCTATTATATCAGTAGGCGGAACTATGGTCAAGCGTACCCATTTTCGGGAACGCATTTTCGTTCCCATGTTTGGGAACGATAAACCCAAATATGGGAACGCCATGTAGGCATTATTTAAAACAAGAAAAAGAACTGTTAAATGACGTCCAAAAAATATAAAACGATCGTGAACCGCCTGATAGTTGTCTCAATATTGTTGGGAAAGAGTTTGATATTGTAAGGCCCATCGTAGTTTCAAATCGTTCCCCTATTTCTAAAGCAGTCCATCACCCGGGCCGCGAGCCCAAATTTGGGAACGCTGTCGTACACTGGCGCTGCAAGCGTTCCTTATTATGGGAACGGCGTACCCAAAATTGGGAACGATTTCACCGACGCCTTTCAGGGGCTCTTTTCATTAACAAGCATCACGTCCAACGCCGCAAATTATTGTTAACGCAACAATCATCAGATGACCTTTCCGGCAAGACCGTTGCATGTTTCGCCCGGTCTTCTGCGCTTTTATTCCCGTCGATCTCGCAGCGGGCACGCCCCCCTCTGCAGGATTACGTAATCCACAACGCTCAGCGATGTTCAACAAGGTCTTCCATACCTATATCCACCGTCCGCGCCGAGGGTGGAGACATGTCAAGCACCTGTCTGCTAATCACCGAGAGTTGACGAGCACAAGAAGTATCCAAAAATGGGAACGCTGAATATGTTACACCCTCAAAACACCTAGTCCCAATGAAAATCTAGTTTTTTCCTTTCTTAATGAGTGTAAGTGGCAAAAGGCCTGGTAGGATGGGCACGACGTATGATCGAAATCAGCATAAAAATTATAAATAAGCCACACAGAGCGACCTATATCAGAGAAATTCCCCCAACCGATCATGCTTAGAAACGCCGAAGACAAAAACCACGCTCATGACACTGCTTATAAAACAACGCTAAACAGCTAGCATCCAAATAAAATATGTCTTTCAGGGCTGATAAAATACAGCTGAATGATTTTAAACCACTGAAACTGAGTTTACAACAGTAGTTCGGTAAAATCACTGACGTTCCACGCGGTCGATCGCCCCGACACCAAATGTCAACAATATTACCTCGGGACTGTCCGCGTGTTCGCTTGCATATGTCATCATCTGGTGTCGCTAGAATGAAACTTCATAACCAGGCGAAAATTATTATACTTGACCTCAAAATGTAAAAAATGCTTCATTTTCCTTAAACTTGCATGTTAAATGTCGTATAACCCATATTTCCACCATTCTGTCATTTTTAAAAAATCATTAAAAATATCATTCCACGGTCAATTTCCTTGTTCCACGGTCAGATTAAAGATAACTTTATGGAGATTTAGTAGATACTTAAATCAGCGTGCACTTTTTTGAGACGTGATGCACTTTTGAGTTTTAGTGGGCGAACGGCCGAAAAATTGCCTTCCGTTCTCATAAATGGGAACGCCCGTTCCCATATTTGGGAACTCCGTTCCCAAAAATGGGAACGTTCCTATATTTGGGTACTCATGACCATAGTTCCGCCTACTGATATCCATCTTGTACCAATAATCGCATGAGCAACAACAGAAAACATGTTTGACTTTCACAATAGCACTTCCCTTAAATACTAGCAAACTCTAGAAAAACATCATTATGATATAATTAAATTAGAGCACAGACAATAAAACCATTTAGCTCACATGGATACAAAATATTAAGAATTCCCTCCCCATAGTGATAGAGAAAATTGAAAAAGAAAGGAACATTAACACCACTCGATGCTATACGATGCTAAGTAATGTATAAACGTAAAAATACTTACGTGGAAAATCCCATTATGATTATACACTCAAAAACTATAGTTTCGAATAAGATAGCATTAATTCAGAAACGCTCCAGAACGATTTCAGAAACGCTTTCAATTCAAATTTGCGACTTTTCATCTCAATCTTGCTTTTCATCCTGCATCAGTCGAAAATATATGACCGGCATTAGAGTGTTCAGCTGTAAACGTTGTTGACCGCTTATGCCAATCTTCATTCCAGTTGCTGCCTTACGATCTGTAAGTGAGCACAAAAATCTTGGCTGCTGAACAGATTATTTCATAGCAGGTGCGCCACATCTGTACAGCTAGTCAGACACCATATTTAGAGAGATTGCTACCATATATTCAAATAAAACCTCCGCTGTTTCAAAGCTCCCATTCAAACGTTAATCTTTTCGATTTCGACATTTTTTTCACAAACGGCAAGCGCATTACTCGTGGACTAAAGTTATATTCAACATCGTGACAAAGCATTTGATGGCCTTTTCCAAGCTCTTTCGTTTCTGACTGACGACTGTCGACGAATAGTCGACGCACGAGCTGCGAGCGAGGAGTTCACTAGAAAGGTTCCTAAACGCTTCTGGCCTATATCCCATTCCCTTACTTCGTAAACAAGTTAGAGTTCATGTCCTAAAATTTGTTCGTTTATCTTCTGTCGTCAAGAAAGACGTCGACAGATTAGGCACCACCGTACCTAAAGGTTTTGACCTAAAAAAATCACGCTGAAAATTCGACCTGAGATCACGACCTGAAGGAAAAGGCTATGTATGCTGCACAATCGATGCGTGCTGCTGATGTCACGAATGCACGGCCCCTTCGCTCGGCTACGTATTCATCGAAAGTTTGTTAAAGAAAGCTGCTGGTGACCTCTTTTGACCTAACATGACCTTTTGAGTGACCGCTAACCGTCTGCTCTGTACCACTACCCACTAACCATTATATAGGTATAGGAATAGCTGGGATTGGAAAGATGTCAAATTAACCCATTTATGCCCAGGAATATTGACCATCATGAAAATCGATGAAATCAAGATATGTTACGCTTCTACCAGGGCCTTGCATGGAATCGAAAATAATTTTTGCCGGCAGCAAAAGTTTTTCGAGAAAAACGTAAAAAACGTGCGTTGCGAAATCGCAACGAAGGGCACACCGGGCGCCATCAGCGTTGCGAAAACGCAACGACGGGCACATCAGACGGACATAAAGTACACTAAACCGCCGTATATGCTAGTTTGTTTTAACATATATTTCACCAACCGTTGAAAAATATTGCTTGAGAATGCGGAACCCACATCCCTCATGCTTTATTACCCGCCTAAGAGCCTCAATGAGGGAGCATAACTTAAGGGTTCGCGAACGGGGAGATGGCAACAAACGGTCATTATCAACAACAATTGTCCATTTAAAGTACCTAGTGGTCGGCACGTACCCTGGGCGGTGCTTTCTTTTTGGAAGTTAGACAGAGCCATTAGCCCATTAGGGTAGAGTGGGGCAAAGCGCCCAGGGCGGGTCAAACGCCCACCCCTCTTTTTTATGAAGTGCTCGACTTTTCGAAGAATTCTCGATAGCCATTTTCAAGAACGAGCAGGAATCTACTTTTGCCCCCTTTTTCGGTTCTACAAGTGGGTTGTTCTGGACGTAAGATAAAGATTAGTTTATTTCAGACAATTTTTAGATATTACATGTTGTCGCGACCGGGGGGTACTGTGCGTTTGTTGCCTAGCAACGAAATTGTTGTCATATTTTTGTGCTTAGAAAATTAAGGAAAAGGGGGCTTTTTGGATGAGAAACTGATTGAAACGGGGTCATTATTATAGCTCATTCTGAAACAGTGAAAGTAAATATGCAAAGCCAAGGACGATGCATTCACTGATTAACAAGTGTCAAAGTGACATTCAAGAAGGGTTTATCTTGATGTTTCAACTTATTTCTTAGTTTATTTTCTCTCGTTAGCCGCAATGTGCGACTTTTGGAACGGTGTTTTTCACTTCGATCAAGGAGCGAAGTGGATCAAGCCTGTACCAAAATAAACATTGATTTCGAAAAAAAAAAAAAAAAACATTGATTTCGAAAGTGCATTTGCGGCATTAAGTTTCATATTTTTTAACGGCTAACGGTGACAGTTCCAAAAATGTTTGCAAAACTCTAAGATGAACTGCACAGCATAAGTTTAAGAGAAGCTGCTCAGATATAAAGTAGCATGATGCAAACCAATGTAGCGTCTGAATTCAAGTTATCAACTTTGATTAAGATACACTGATTTATTTGCACCAATCATGTCAGCATCTGATTTCAAAAGGAAGCGTGGGAGGATGCTGTCAAATCTCACCAGAGTAAGAAGACGAGCCCTAGTAATGATTGAAAATAGAGGCTCTAGGACGCAGCTGGTCGACATGCTTAAGGAGCTGGACGCTGCACTTGAGTCTTTAGAAGAAGTGAACGAAGAGCTCAAAGAAGCAATAGCAGAAGATGAAGCACTTGTTCAAGAAGCGGTCGATTACATGAAGGTTGCAGAGCAGCAACACGACGAAGCATATCAATGCATACGAGAATATTTGAAATCCAGACAAGGTGAAACACCATCTATAGTGTCGGGCTCAATTCAGTCTCACCAGTCCAGCAGCTCGTTAGCTGCTCGAAGCGCTGACATTGCTTTTCAAGTGAAAGAAAAGGAACGTAAGCTTCTGGAGCGGCGACACCTGAGAGAAAGGGAAGAACAAGAGTTGCGAAGAAAAAATGAGCTTCAAGCCGCTAAAGATGCCGAAGAGTTAGCCAGGCTAGAAGCGCGCCTTACCGCAGCTGCTGAGAGTGAGCTCAGCTGGGACCGCAGAAAGGATTTTGATGGTGAGGCATCCGCAGTTGAAGAGCAAGGAGCTCAAACCGAAGGCGATTCCCCAGCTGAAAAGGAGTCTGAAGATGACAGCCCTGAAGTGCATGTGCCTATTCTGCCGTCCAGCGCCCGTCCTGTGCCAACGCAATCTGAATCTCTGTTCGCAAGAAGTCTCCCAAGAATCACGCTGCCAAACTTCAGTGGTAGTCCGGGAGAGTGGCCAAGATGGTTCGCGCTCTTCCGAACATTGGTGCACGATCAAGCAACCTTAAACTCCACTGAAAAAATGGCGCATCTACAAAACGCAGTAACGGGTCCGGCGCAGCAGCTGATCAGTGGGATGCTCTACGAAGGGACTCTCTATGAAGAAGCGCTGCACGCGCTAGAAAACCGCTTTGGCAGACAAGAGGACATTGTGCAGGCGAAAATGAAGGCTATCTTTGCATGCCCGTCGCCAGCAGATCTAGATCTGCAAGGATTGGAACGGTTTCACTCAGCTGTTCACTCTGCCGTAACAGTTCTTCAGAACCTGAAGTACGAAGGAGACCTTCAAAGCACAGAAAACCTGCGTAGAATAGTGGAGAAGTTGCCGCAAGAAATGAAGCGCGTTTGGAGCGCACACGTCGTTGAAATGGAGCCGGCCCGAGCTACATTGATCAACTTCGACCAGTGGCTCACAAAACAAGTGAGGATCTCTCAGAAGCTCACTGCCGTGACAATTCAAGACACTGATCAAGTCAAAAAACGCGCCTGGCAGTCCAGACCAGCAACTGGAGCACAACATCAAAAGACAAAAGAAAAGACACTGGCGACACTGGCTACAAACACTACAGCCTCACTCGATTCTGACACTTGTGTGTGTTGCAGCGGGAAGCATCATTTGAAGGACTGCGAAGCATTCAGAGCGCGAGACGCCAATGGCCGAGCTGAGCTAGTGTTCAGCTCAGGAATGTGCTTCATCTGCTTAAAGAAAGGCCACATGAGCAGAAATTGTGTCTTTTCTAAGAAGTGTGGAATAGACGGGTGCAGGATGAAACACCACAAGATGCTGCACGGCAGTCACCGTGTAAGGCCTCACGGTGGTGACCAGAGAGTCATAGCCGCAGTAACGGGAAACCGACCAGCAGAGGGAATGACGCTTCTCCAGATAGTTCCCGTTCGAGTGCACGGCCAAGATGGAAGATTTAGAGACACGCTGGCCCTGCTAGATCCAGGATCTCAGACCAGCTTATGCTCGGAAGCAATCATCAGAGATGTGAAGATTTCAGGCGAAGCGCAGTCGCTATGCATCGAAAATGTTGAAGGACGAGGAAGTACCAAGAGGTCTGAAAGGGTCCAGCTGACTCTGAGTCCTTTGTGCGAAGGTCAAGATGTTGACCGCAAGATCCTTGTTCCTGAAGCGTTCTCTGTGCCGCGAGTAAACGTCCGAGCACAGCACATTCCTAAACGATTGAAAGATGACTGGAAGCATCTACAAGGCATAAACATACCTGACTGCTCACAGGGAACAGTGGAGGTGCTTCTAGGCGCTAATGTCCTTGAAGCCGTTCTTCAACGCGAAGCCAAAGTTGGACGAGCAGGAGAACCGGTGGCGGTGCGCACGGCATTTGGCTGGACGTTGACCGGCACGATCGCTGGTTTCGTCCCACCTCAAACCAGAGAGGTGATGTTCATCCACCGTGCGGACACAGAAGACAGGCATCTCGGAGAGTGTGTCGAAGAGTGGTGGAAGACTGATTCATTTGGCACGAAAGTTGAGCTCAAAGGGGAAGCTTCAGCAGAAGACCTGCGGGCATTGCGTCTCCTAGATACATCAGTGAAGAAATGCGGAGACCGATACGAAGCAGGACTTCTTTGGAAAGGCAAAGATCAGAGAATGCCTGACAACAGAGCATCAGCCATGAGAAGACTTCAGAGCCTTGAGAAAGGCTTGTTACGTAACCCGGAAAAGGCTAAGGCGTATGAAGCCGAGCTCCAAGCTTATGTTGAAGCGGGGCACGCACGCAAGCTGTCTCAAGAAGAAGCCGATCAGCGTTTGAAAAAGCGCTGGCTTCTACCACATCACGCGGTAGTAAACCCCAATAAACCCAAGCTGAGGGTAGTCTTTGATGCTGCAGCGACACACCTGGGAGTGTCCCTGAACAGTGAGCTGATGAAGGGACCGGACATGCTGCAGAATCTGGTTGGAATTTTGCTCCGCTTCAGAGAGGAACAGACTGCCATGGTAGCAGACATCAAGAAGATGTTCCACCAGATCAGGATTCGCCAGGAAGACCAGCCAGCATTAAGTTTCTGGTGGCGAAACCTTGACACCACACGACAGCCTGATATGTACCAAATGCAAGTAGCAATATTTGGCGCGAAGTGCAGCCCAGCGATCGCAAATTTTGTACTACAGAGAGCGGCAGAAGACGGCTGCACTGGCACAGAAGAGTCCACAGCAGCCAAGAAAGCGGTTCAGACCAGCTTTTACATGGATGACTTCGTCAAGTCAGAATGTTCCAGTGAAGCTGCACTCAATATGAAAAGAGAAGTCTCCAGCATCCTCGCCAAAGGAGGGTTTTGCCTCACGAAGTGGATGAGCAATGAGGAGAGGGTGCTGGCTGAAGTCCCGGTTGATGAAAGAGCTGTCTTGAAGATAGACTCGTCGGGCAAGTCGTACTGCAGCGTTTTAGGATGCAAATGGACCCCGCAGGACGACTACCTGGCCGTCAAGTGTAGCGTAGTCGCGGTGCCGCCGACGAAGAGAGGAATCCTGAAGCAAGTCGCGTCTATGTTTGATCCTTTAGGGATCGTGGCGCCCTACACACTAGTGGCGAAGAAACTGATCCAGAGTCTCTGGGAAAGAAAGCTAGGCTGGGATGAAGGAATCACAGGAGAAACCCTACATATCTGGAGACGCTGGCAAGAAGAGCTTCAGCATGTTGAGGACGCATGTGTTCCACGGTGGTATGGCGCGCCGGAACAAGAAGTTGACGCTCAGTACGAGCTGCACATGTTCAGCGACGCCTCCGAATTAGCGTTCGGTACCGTAGCATACATCAGAGTATTGTCCAGCGGCTACTATCACAGTCGCTTTGTGATGGCTCGCACTAGGCTCGCACCTCTGCGACAGCTGTCGATAGTCCGACTTGAGCTGCAAGGTGCCGTCATGTCAACAAGAGTAGCCAGTCTTATCAAAAGGGAAATGAACTACAACTTCAAGCGAATCGTCTTCTGGACAGACAGTCAAGTGGTGCTGCAGTTTTTGAAGAACGAAAGTCGGCGATACCACACATTTGTGGCGAATCGTGTATCTGAGATTCACGACACGACAAGCCCAGATCAGTGGCGCTTCGTGCCAGGCTCAGAAAATCCGGCAGATCTCTGCTCAAGAGGAAAGTCTCTGTCAGAGTTGAAAAACCAGCAAGAGTGGTGGCTAGGCCCAGCGTTTCTAGAAAGCAAAGAAGAGCACTGGCCACCACAAGAAGACGTAGGAGACATCAGTCCAGACTGTGTAGAAGTCAAGAGGTCAGCAGCCATCTGTGCGACAAGTCATGCTAGTTCACCAAAAGAAGAGATCACTTCTCTACTGTCCCAGCTCATAGACCCGGCGCGGTTCTCTTCATGGACTCGTTACAGACGCATTGTCGCATGGATAAGGCGATTCATCAGCAACGTGAAGAGCAAGGTTGCTGGCACAGAAGTCATTGATGGTCCACTACGCAGCGCAGAAATTGATGCGGCTGAAATCAGCATAATAAAGGACGATCAAGAAACCTGCATGAAACAAGCTAGTCTCGACCACCTGTCTCCATTCCGAGATCAACACGGCCTCATGAGAGTTGGTGGGCGCCTGAGCAAGACTTCGTTAGACGAGTACACGAAACACCCCGTCATTCTTGACGCCAAGAGTGAGATCACCAGACTGGTCATTGTCGATGCACATCAGCGAGTCATGCATTGGGGATTGGAAAGAACACTTTGTGAGCTGAGATCGAAGTACTGGGTGCAACGGATGCGGTCAGCTGTGAAGAAGCACCTGTGGAAGTGTGCATTCTGCCGTAACCGCCGCGCCTCGCCTCAGCCACCCAGGATGGCAGACTTGCCAGAGGCCCGTCTAGACATGAGACGTCCGTTCAGCACAGTCGGACTCGACTTTTTCGGACCTCTGACGGTGAAGAAGTTTCGAAAGACAGAAAAGAGATATGTGCTGCTGATCACATGTCTCGCCACTCGGGCCATCCATTTGGAGCTAGCTGCTTTGATGGACACCAGTAGCTTCATCATGGCACTGCGCCGCTTTATCGCACGAAGAGGTAGACCTCGAACTATCTACTCGGACAATGGCACTAATCTAGTCGGAGGCGAAAGAGAACTGCGAGAAGCCATCGAACATTGGAATCAGGCACAGATATCCGATGCTTTGAGTCAGAGAAACATCCAGTGGGTGTTCATCCCGCCAGCCGCCCCGCATATGGGCGGTGCATGGGAGCGTCTGATCGCCTCGGTGAAGCGCTCCCTCAAAGTGGTTCTAGGAAACAAATGCGTCTCGGAGGACGTTCTTCAGACGACCCTAGCGGAGGTCGAATTCATGATCAACGGCCGTCCTCTGACCTACATTAGCAGTGATCCTCAAGACCCCGAACCTCTTACGCCCAACCACTTCTTGTTGGGCTCATCTGATGGAAGAGAAGGACTACCGCCAGGGGTATTCAATGATGCTGATGCTGATGTTGTTGGACGGAGGAGATGGCAACAAGTACAGATCCTCGCTGAACATCTGTGGAAAAGGTGGCTCAAGGAGTACCTTCCTACGCTGATAAACAGACAGAAATGGAAGACAGAGAAGAAGAATCTGCAGATAGACGACGTAGTTTTGGTCGTCAACAGTCAGAGTCCTAGAGGATACTGGGAATTGGGACGCATCACAAGAGTCTACCCAGGCTCTGACGGAGGAGTCAGATCAGCGGAAGTGAAGACAAAGAGTGGGACGTATGTTCGCCCGACAACGAAGTTGTGTCTCTTGGAGAGTCTCAACTAAGCCTCTAAATCGGAATCATCGGAGAATCCGTGCGACGGGGTGCACGGCCAACTGGCCCAATATGTGATGCTCATGTGAGACGAACCGTGAAAGTAATGTTGATCTTGATGGAGGGGGTACGTTCTGTGTTCGAAGACATTGATAATGATCCGCGTGGCTAGCACCCACATTTGTGACCTGCGTAAGGTCAACGCGAGCCGTGACAGAATCGGCATGGGCCGTTAGTGCTCAGAGCTGACACGGTGTGGTCGTTAAGTGCAGAGTGAAAGACACCGAGGGGTGTCAGGAACGTGTGGCCTGTATCGCGAGTGACATGTTTCGTGTTCCCCCTTGTGAACACTGGTGGGGGAGGATGTCGCGACCGGGGGGTACTGTGCGTTTGTTGCCTAGCAACGAAATTGTTGTCATATTTTTGTGCTTAGAAAATTAAGGAAAAGGGGGCTTTTTGGATGAGAAACTGATTGAAACGGGGTCATTATTATAGCTCATTCTGAAACAGTGAAAGTAAATATGCAAAGCCAAGGACGATGCATTCACTGATTAACAAGTGTCAAAGTGACATTCAAGAAGGGTTTATCTTGATGTTTCAACTTATTTCTTAGTTTATTTTCTCTCGTTAGCCGCAATGTGCGACTTTTGGAACGGTGTTTTTCACTTCGATCAAGGAGCGAAGTGGATCAAGCCTGTACCAAAATAAACATTGATTTCGAAAGTGCATTTGCGGCATTAAGTTTCATATTTTTTAACGGCTAACGGTGACACATGTTTTCATACTACTAAAACTTTGTCTGACAGAGATTAAAGTAGGCAATGAAATTTAGCTACGCAGAACCTGCGGATTTAAGCTACGTTTTGAGCATTTACTGGTTTGCAACACAATCGTCAAACGCTTAATTTTGGTGGACTTCGTTTTGAATGTGCTGTTGGGGTAATACGCCCACTTTGGTGTGGGGCAAAACGCCCATCATGGGCGTTTTACCCCAAATGGGAGTTATACAGTACGGGTATTTGCGAACATTTTTGGCTGAAAGTGAGTGTCGGGATACGTTTCTAATGCTCAGGATTCTTATGAAATATGCAATATGCTGGTTAGTATCGCCTGGAACAATTTATTCGCACGAACTAATCTCCGCTCCGGCGGCCGCTGGGCCTCCGCGCCACCCGCCGGCCGCTGGGGGGGGGCATATAGTTGCCCCCCCTTTACTTCCGCGGCGATATCGTCGCAACGCGAAGAGATAGAGAAGCGAAACTTTGCACACATCTTCCTGAATACCTAGCCGAGGTTGTGTCCAAATTTGGTGTCGATCCCATTTGAAATGACGTCACAGTGACGTCATAAGTCAAATTGTAGATTTGCGACTCTCAGTTTCCTCACGATACATCAGGTATATGGGACCGAATATAAAGGGCCGATTATTGGTTAAGAACTAGATGGAAGTGTTCTTAGATGTTTTAGGATGACAGCAGGTGCTGTCTAGTTCATTTACAGTTGAGTTTCATGCTCAGCGTCATCAGAAACGGTCCATATCGGAAAACGACAAAACTTTATGACGTCACTTTGACGTCATCTTAGATGCTACAACCACCAAACTTTCTTCAAACATTGCCTAGGTATTCATTTGAAGCTATGCCAAGTTTCACGTTCGTAGCTCATCAGGTTTCGGAGATATTCCACAAAACGTAAAGGGGGGGCAACTTTATGCCCCCCCCCCAGCGGCTCGTGGGTTAAGGCGGTGACAGCCCGTTGACTGAATGAGGAGTGGGGTGGTAACAACAGTGTTCAAGATGTGTTTGGTGGTGTAATCTATCGATTTAAAGTCAAACGAAATGAGAAATGATAAATACTGCATTCTTTTGTCAGAGTACCGAGCGTGTAATGAAACGTTCAGGACTGGGCGTTATGCCCCACTCATATGGGCGTTATGCCCCATGGGTGGGGCAAAACGCCCGATTTGTAGTCCTCTCAATTCGGATGGCATATCTCAAAAACCATGCATGCCACTTGTTTCTGATGTGTTATTCGAAGAAAGCCAAGGTAATGAGCTACCAGATCAGCTACCTAGTTGTCTTTCAAATTTGTAAGATAAAGAGATACTGGGGCTGGAAAGTTAGGGTGGGCGCTTTGCCCCACTCTACCCTACCCTCTCATATGAGAACCCCAAACTGAAAACAATTTAACCGAGGATTGGGAGTCAACCAGTGCCTCGCCTAAGCGCCTATCCGCAATACCATTGTTAACCACCCTCCTAGGAGTAAAGACAAATTCAAATGCAGGGTAGTCGTGCACACTCTTATCAAAAAATGAACCTATCCGGCTTTCACAAATTACCTGCGTAAGGCGTAGAGCGTCATAGCAACTCGGCTTAAAGTGTCTCCCAGGACCCATTTTATCACTTTTACACCTAATCCAAAATTTTCATTGTCCCACTCTCAGCGACCTTCACACTTGTAACCTCTTTCTCGAGACAATGCCAGGGCAGACTGGTGATTCGACGCAGTTCACACTTTCCAAGTGTTTCGTCAATCCGTCCTTTCCATCTTTAGGATAGTAGAATCCTTCTCCATGCCTCAACCTTTGTTTCGAGCTGGACGGGCAACTACATAGGTATATCGCATTCGAGCAGCTCCCATAGGAGCACAGGTCTGTAGCCGGATACAGAAAGTGCTTGGGAAGGGGGGGCTGGTTCATGGGTGGCCTGGATGGATGGGCTCAGCCTCGACGATTCACCATGCCCGCTCAGACCTATGTTTTCCCTAATTCCAATAATGCTTCTAGCTCTAAAATGGTCTGATTAGACAAAAGGCCTACCCTCAGTAAACAAACAAGCAATGCTTCACATCAACCACCTTATCAATCCGTGCAAACCATGAATTCTAAAAATAAACTATTATTTTCCAGACGCCCTCATCACTCCTGCCGAAGGGGTCTGTTGCCCCCCCCCCCCCCTGAGGGGGCATATCCCACATTTGCCGCTTCTGGGAGTTATCTTTTCTAACGTAAGGGCCAGCGGATTGCATCCAGAGAATGACAATGCCTATCTGTCGTCTGATACCAGACTATACGTACCCATTATTTAGTACAAAGTAGATCCAATTTTCAAAGTACCTCGCTATCTCTCAGCTCCGTTAGCATCGCCGAGCGTTTGATGCAGGTCCTTTTCCTACCATGCGATTTTCAGATGCTCGAAAACCCATTGCTCGAATAGCCCGATAATCTGTGAGAAAAAGAAATGAGTGTTTGATAGCTGTTTAAGTGAGTTAATGTGAAACGTGTCGCAACATTCACGTGCAAATGCACCTTGCACTTTACATACCTACACATCCCTCACGACTACAAAACGAGAGAGAGAGAGAGAGAGAGAGAGAGAGAGAGAGAGAGAGAGAGAGAGAGAGAGAGAGAGAGAGAGAGAGAGAGAGAGAGAGAGAGAGAGAGAGAGAGAGAGAGAGAGAGAGAGAGGGAAGGAGAGAGAGAGAGTTGGGGGAGCGTGGAAGAGAGGGAGGAAGATTGGGGAGAGAAGGAAAGAACCCACACCGTATCTCAAGTGAAGTCTATTTGATGTTCCTTTACTTCCGCTGCCCTGCCAATTTGCCCCTCGTTGCGTTTTCGCAACACCCCTGTCTTTCCGATGTGCCCAACGTTGCGTTACCGCAACACGACTGTAGTCATATTTGAAAATAGTCACAAACCCTATTTGCAGCATAATTTGTTAATAAAATGTATATTCTAGCTATTGTAGGGACTCTGCAGAATATGTTCACACATTATTCATTACGATATAATTAATCACTTAATCTACTTATTTTGGTTTTCGTGACGTCATCACTGACGGGACCTTTGACTTCCCTCTGGGAGCTCTGGACGGTAAGTTACCGGCCGCACAGACTTGTAACTGCGTAGCATCATGCGCAGATCCATGCTAAACGCGCTGAAACTTGTCTCATCGGTGAGACGTTATTATACACTTCTCAAGATTTGATCACGTCGACGCTTGCTTGTGTTGCGAAAACGCAACGAAGGGCGTAAATGGGTTAAACACGAACGGAAAATCATTTACCGTAACTACGATAAAATCATGCAGGTAAAAGCAAGGTAATACACCTGGTGAAACATTTAAACAAATACATGCCTACATCAAACATAATGTTTATTGCAGATGCGATAATATGCATACACAGCAAATGACGATGACATTGAGGACTTAACAGAGGCGGATCCAGCTCAGAGGTTTGGGGGGGGGGCAAACCATAAAAATTTATCGATTCTTTTCATGCATCGTCCATAGGCGTAATGTTAAAATCATGCCGTTTGGGGGGGGGGGCAAATGCCCATTTTGCCCCCCCTGGATCCGCCACTGTGACTTAATGAGTTTTAGTTCACTTTTGAGAAGGCATGCGAAAACGATATCTTATGAGTTTTTAAACTCCCAAGATAATTGAGCTGCCATCGATGGCTTTCTCACAAGTTGGGTCGGTTCCCGTGGTTCAACTAACACGGGAGGTTGCCGGCATCGACTTGCCGCGCATCATCAGAACAGTAGAACTGCTTGCCGGATAGACAGAAGAACGTGTCCGGTTTGCAGACGAGGTCGCGGCAGCCGGGTCGGCCGTTCTGCACGGCGCACACCGGGGCCTGGGGAGGACAGTGGATGTCGGCGCACGGGTCCGGGTAGGCGGGCGCCACGCACCGGCTGCCCGGCTGTCCTGCCACCGGACAGCAGAGCAGATCGCCCTCACACGAGCTGTCCAGCCTGCACGAGGGGCCCAGTTTGGTGAGCGCCCAGGCCAAGTAGGTCGGCGCCGGACAGAAGCCCGGCTTCGGTTTGCCGGCCAGCACACATTCCGCCTTGAAGAAGCAGCTGGGTCTGTCGGTGCAGCTGGGCCGCAGGTTCTCCGTCACGCGGCAGACAGTGCCCGGGGCACACCGGACCGCGGCGCACGTGTTACGCGTGCAGACCGGCTGAGGGTGACACGGCGGTCGGATGCAGATGACTGTCTGCAGGACACACACCTCGCCCAGCGAGCAGCGGACGTGCGCGCAGCTCGGCGGCCGCGCGGCCGGCGGCGGCTTCGGGTGAGGTTGCGGCGTGTTCACACACTCGTACTGTGTCTGGTGTGAGCCGTAGTACGAACCGTAGCCGTGAGTGACTCTTCGGGGCCGGCACGTCTGGCCGTACCGACAGGGAGGGCTGCAGCGATTGGCAGAGCCTGACGGAAGGGGCGATGCGGAATGTTACAGCGGTCATGGCAGATAATCATAAATGTATAATGAGATTGGTGACTACAAAGAAAGCATACCTGGTTTGCGGACTGGTTGAACTACAAGGAAATCATGTTCATAACAGTGATAGATAGCAATCAAACGGTGAAGCTCTATACCAAAATATTCAACTGCAACTAACAAAAGTAAGCCGCCAACACTCCGCAAAAAAAAAAACATCAGGGCTTAGGAGACGGGAGTCGACAGAACTCACCGCCGGCAGACAGGGGGGCAGCACAGCTCAGGAGCGCTGCAGCGCTCAGCAGGAGATAGCCCGACCCCATCGTGAGCGGGTGTCCGGCGTCGGGCGAGAACTGAACGGAGTTTGGAGACCGGGCCGAGCTATA